TTTACTCAATATATTTAAGAAAATTCTGCTACTGTAAACTCAAAAAAGCAATACTCTAAACTGAGACAAAGCGATACTATTTAGCATAGGTTTAAAATTTTAATAAGTTTCCATTCAAAACATGATTGGTTATTACTGAAACAGTAATAACTAATTTCTCTAATTGTTTCGTATTAAATTAAAACTTTAACTAAATGATATTTAATTTTAATCTAGAAATTAAATATGATAAACACATGTATAAGCGTGGTATTTTTTTACTGAGCACTTCCCAGTTATCCTAAGATAAATTGATGAACTACACGACCTTTATACAACTGCAACTTAAAGAATTACTGCATTTCGAGCTTTCAAAACTATTTTTGCAAAAGTACATCTCATTAGAAACTATTAATTGGTAGAATATGGCCTTTGATATTTATAATTAATAAGTAAAAAAAGAATATAGATAACTTAGTTGAGAAATTATTATGATTGAAAATTTGTATTTCTTGGGAGAACATTTCCTAATTTTGATGAGAAAAGTTTATCCAATTTGATTATGAAATGCTTTGGTTAAGAAATTGGTCAAGAGTTCTAAATTGATTAAAATTTACTCACAAGAGTAAAGAAATTAGGCAAATCTACGTGTAACTTATAAAAATAAATATATTTAACGAAAGTTATATTTTAGGCCCTTTATACAATAAAAAGTTCTCTGTGTTAATAAGAAGCATTCACTATATTTTCAGGTGTCAAAAAATATATTTATACAGGTTAATATCCATATTAGTTTATTTTTATCTATGTAGCTGATTTACAAAGTATGATTTGTTACAATTTAAATCAATACTTTAGTTCACTTACGGGAACTGTGTAGAAAAAAAACTTAAATTTTTTTTTAAATTATCATTTAACCCTAAACTATAAAACAGATCTTGCTCGGGCTTATGTTTAAAATTATTTTGCTTGCAGTCTTGCAATATTGATACTTGTAGGTACAAAATTTAAAAATGAATGAACACTTTTAATATCAAACAACTTTTAACGTCTTTGTTGATTATTTTAAAAATAGTTTTTTATATCTAACTAGTTTTTTAATGTAAAAGCCTTTAGTAATAGCTAAACAATTCATCAAACGTTCAGGACACAAGGAACAAACGATAATACTTTTTTCTCCAGTTAGACACTGCCTCTTCAATATTTAGAAACTCCTGGTCAATAAACCAGGAGAACAAAGACAACGTCATATAAAGCATTGATTCGAAGTCAGATAAATGAGAAAGCAATTTTTCAAACTATATTTAGAATTTTGCTTTTCTGCTGCCATTATTATGTATAGATAGGTGCCTGCCAGTACTAGAAATATTTACTTTTGTTAAAAAGAAAAAAGGGAAAAAATGTAAATTGATTTTTTGAATCAATTGGACCTCGCCGACAAGTTTTGTTAACTTGGTGATTTAAAGATTTTGTATTATCACTAATATTACATTTGAATTTTTTTTAAGCTTTGTTAGAAACTTTTCTAAAACTCATTAATTCTGTTACTAAGCTGGATAAAAAAGTAAACTCTTGATTAAATAGGAAAAGAATGTAAATGTAAGTAAATTTAATTACCACGCATACGTGGTTGTCAGGAGTAATAACTGTAACCAAGTGTGTAAATTGTTCCCACTTCTATCCACCTGTCACTGTTCTAAATTGTTAAAAATAAATTGTTAAATTGTTAAATAAATTGTTGTAAATTGATAAATTGTTCTAAATTCACTCGGTAAATGATTCACGTCGTTCCCTTATACACATATATCAAAGTAAATAAACAGATTTTCGTCAAAAAATATTTCGATTTTTGTAATAGATATTTTTGTATAAACGTGCATACGGTTTTTAGTAACATACACAGACTATTTCCTAGAAGAAGAACACTGTCTGATCGAGGTGGTCTTGGATCCACTTCTAGGTACCAGGGAAAAGACTGAACTGTTGTCTGTTTGGACGTAGAATCATGGTCGCCATGATGAAGTCCCCTGCTAATAGGTTTTACTATTTCAGTTAAAATATAAATCAGCTTCTACTATTCAGAGGATCTATATGTTTACATAGTATTGGTACTAAGGATTTAAATATAAAATATGGTCCTGATAGGTAATTTTAGATTAATTAGTTAGATGATCATTTATTGGATTTTTTATCATTTGTAGATGACATAATAGCGCTATCGCTGTTATAAATCATCATTGTAAGCAATACGGTATTTTTTTGGAGATTCCTTACACTGTGCTTTGGCAATTTATTTAAGTTAGATTAGTTCAGTTTGGCTTAGTTTTGTTTATGATAGGCCTTATAACAAATATGGAAATAGGATTCATTTAATCAAAAGACGTTTTGTACAAGAACGATGGATTTACCTCCTATCGATAACTGTTGGAAATCCATTACTTATATTACCAATGACTTTTGGTTAATTAATGGACGAGAAGTTAGGATTGTTGTTGACTACTAGTATTACATAGTAACGATATAAGGATTAGAGCATTTTCCAGTTTTAAGCGGGGAATGAGTTTTCACCATATAATATTATCATGTGAATTGCAAATCCTATAATCTAAACCAATTGCGTGTACGGACAAACTTTTATTTTAGTCCTAGGGTTTAAATTTTTTTGTTTATTATGGGGTATTTGGACACGAGAAATCGATTAGAGTTTGTTACATGGCTTGGAAAATCCCGTTACCGCTCTACAGCCATTTAAAGTGCCTATGTTATGGACAATGCCTTGTAATAAAAGAGCTGATAACCTAGGTATATCACAATTATATATGTATATTTGTTTCATTTGTATCATCTATAATTTTATCACATTGATTACAGTACAATATGTACAATAAATATCTTTAATTTAGCCAAATAACTTATCTAATAAATTAAATGTTTAAATCAATCCAAGCGAAGCTTGGTCCCCTGGTACAATAAATAATGTACAACAGTAAATTGATTTCTAGTATAGTTGTTCTGGTATGGCCTAACCTAAGCTAACACGATATTACAAAATTAATGCTCGATAAGTAAAAATAAATTAAAAGAATGAATTCTTAACAATGTAGATTTATTAGGAATGTAGTTGTTTTAAAACAGTTTTGGGTGTTTATAGGGAGTTATTTAAACTATATAGATACGTGTATAAATTATTCTTTTTTTAAAACATCGAATATGATAAAATAAAACCACTATCTTTGGTTGTACAGTATAAGTGATTCCCAAATTATAATTAAGAACTATATCCATGACTAGCATTAAAAAATATTTTTTTAATATTATAGCTTAGCTCTCAGCCCATTTATGCATTATAAACAAAACAGTGTTGACTTTCTGTAATAATCTGTGACAGAAAACCAACAACACTGTGTTTTGTAGATAGCGGTGAATAATGGCAGCGAGTCAGTGTTTAACAAGTAGGCCGTGGAATGGTGGGAGGGGTGGAGATTTAGAATCAGTTGGTGTTATACAAAATTATGTGTAATAATGCACAAAACAATCGCATTTAAAGTGATGAACAATTGAATGCAACAATTTAAGTTAGTCACTAACCATACAATGCGTTTCACCAAACCGTATAAATATTGTTTCATAATAGATCTATTTAGAAACTGTGACTATTTCTCAACAGGGAAATGCATGAGTTTGAAATAACCTTAGCCTCCTCTCCTAATAATTAAGCCCTGTGGTATTTATTCCCCAATTATAACTGTTTTTATGCATGACATAGTGACGTACAAGTGACAACTTGTTATATGAACGATTTAAAACATTTTAAAAGAAAACTTGTCAGAATGTGTTTGTGTATGTAGTGCTAGAGAGTAAAATGTTGGTATAATTTTGACGTAATAAGAAAGTAAAACAATAGTGAGTAGTTCAATAAATAACTGTAAGCCTATTTGCATCAATTATTTGATTTGATTCACATATAATGTACCGATGTTAAATTTGCAAATAATCACTTTTCTAATATTCCAAGAGTCAATATTAAAACGACAAATTTGATTAATAAATCCGCTTGCTTGTCAAGCTGTATTGAGTTACTTCTTTGAAATTGCATTTAAAAATTTAATTATATAACCATTGAATTTAAAAATTATATCACCTTGTTTAATCTTAGCATATCACACAAATGGACACATTCCATGTAAGTAGTTATACTGTATTTCCTTTTTGGAAATAACCGATTAACCGAATAAGCGATTTTAATGGCAAGTTTATAAAAAGTATTGTATTCACATTTAAAATGGACGTTGCATGATAGACTTTAAATGCGTCTAGTTTATTTCGTCAAAACTGATATTCTGATAGTTATTTACCAAGGGAAGATGGTCAGGAGGGTCGCCGGATATTACTTCCGGATTGATTCGACAGTTCCGGTCATACGTCTTGCACGGTACTTGTATCAGTGATGCACTCGTTTTCATTCCCAGTTTTTCCTAGCAGCCTTTTTGTTATTATTAAAATGTTATGTCAATAAAGGTGGAAGGCAATTTTTAGATTTTATCAAACAAACGAATCTTCTAGATCCAAGGTCCACAATCTATAGCGAATCATTACTGCATACGGTAGTTTTTGAAGTTACTTGAGAAAATTTTGAAAGATACTAACATTGTATCCATCGTATTATTGAGATTCGGATGGACATTTCATCCATATGGAGTAGTTGTATCGAATTCATTACGAAAATATAGCATAATGTAATGAACTACTCAAACAGTGTGCTAAATTTAAAAAAATATTTTTTACGCTTACTTTTGTTACTGTCTTAGTTGATGTGACATAATATATGATTTAGTACACAATAACTTGACCTTGAAGTTTGGTTTGGTTATAAAAGCCAATGAGTTAAACAGGTATAGGATAGGTTGATCCTATACCTGTTTAAACCGATTCTTACATCAACTACGTTGATATTACAATAGATCTGACTACAACGTTTACATACAAATTAAATATCAATTTCTATCTTTAATAAAGATAACAACAGATAATTTAACTATATTTCGAGAAAAAAAACAATAATTTAATCATGAACAAAATGTATCGCCCTTAGATATTCTTTGCCTTCCAGTTTTGTTTTACGATGGATATCGCATCGACAAAGTTTCTGTAGTCCACTTCGTCTCTGAGACCCCTGGGTTTGGCAAAACATTTGACCAGAGCCTCGAACTGGATGGCTGACACAAGAGTGTGTAGACATAGGACAGTCAGGGCTCTGAGGAACTCGCTCTGGTTAACGGTCCCGCAGTTGTGGCGATCAATGGACTGCGGGAAAACGACAAGAAATCAGAAGAAGTATTAAAGAAATATAATATGGAAGATAATACTAAAAAGATGTGGTGGCTTATTTGTCAATCAAATACTAACATTGGATTTGGAAACGATGGTGTATCTTGCTTGACCCTCAGGTGTTAGCTTGCTAGGTACTGTTATTTTTCTATCCAAACTTTGGTTCAATTACGTCTAAACTATTTTAAATGTGTTATAATTTAGCTCTATTGAGTTATTATTGGTCAGCTGCAATATGTATCACAATAAAAACTCCACATTAATCTTTCAAAGTAGTTAAGTAGCTAAGTAGACATGCTTGCGTAGCATTTAAAAGGTTTTCCCTGGGTCTCGGTTTTGACCCAGATAAAGTAATCCCTTATTGATAGTAGTACACCGTGTCCGGATGATCTTTGGGCTTTTGAGTCTATGTCTTGCTAAAGATACGGCTGATCTTAGTCAAGCTACACAGAAGGAATCACTCTATTCAAAACTCATATCGTACTATAATCTAATTGAAAATTACGCACTTACTTACATTTAGCTGAAATTTTATTTAGTTAATTAAATCTCCACACAACACAAAATTAAAGTTAACATAAAAGGTTACCTTAAAAATATCCAGCAATGCATCTGTTGGCTTGGCCGCTATATTCTCCAGCGCCAACGACACCAGCTGTCGCTCCTCGAAGTTGAGGAAGTTGTGTTTCCCGTCGTGACAAGCTACATGCTGCAGTGGCTCCAGCAGAGGAGCTCTCTCCAGGAGTGGCTGAGAGAATGCCTCCTCCACGGTGTTACAGAAGCGTTGGTATTCCACACACTCCGGTCTAGTAGGAGACGCGAACCTGTGTCAAAAGAAGTATTTTTTTGGTTTGTTTTGTTACACTTAGGCTTCACTAAACAATCGAAAATGATAGCAAACGACCGGGAATGATTCTGGCGATTGCTTTCTCTGTTGTCGGATTGAATCTGCTAAACTATATGGCACACGATACGCAGCGAAACAACACGTAGCAAAAGCACACGCCGTACCAATTCACTCGTAGATTCTTATATATTCCCAAAATAGAGTTCAATCGACATTTTCTTGTTGCTGCGTTATATTCACAACAGGTTGTGTCCCGTCCAAAGCTTTTCCATCGTGTACAATAGCTTCTATTTCACAGCACAGAAATCATTTACCAGAAACCTGTCCGTTTCAACAGCCTGTACAAGTATGCTCCCAAAGTAATTCTTTCTTACAGCACCCTTTCCATCTCCCGTCTGTTTTCTTTTCTGTTTAGTCTAGTCAATTTCAACAGCTAAACTAGTGAATACTTGGCACTGTCCCGTACAATCATCACTAACTGTACTGTATATCTACACAGCATGAAATATCAACTAATTTAAATTATAGAATACTCACACTTGCATGATTATCTGTTTCTCAGTTGGCGTAAGACAAAGTTTTTCATCCAAACTTCTGTCAAAGTTTTGGCGTGATATAACCAACTGGTTGTGAAGATCGTATTGGGACATAAACTGCGAAAGCTTCACACGATAGCAAATAAGCTGTTGAAAACACATTAATCATATCGTAAGATGTTTTTAAAATAATGCTGCGCTAATCATTAAACAGCCACTCTTTTATAGTAGGAGAAATAATGTAAATCGTCTGCTATGGTAATGGATATGACCATTAGCCTCAAAATAACTGTATGTTCATAATAGAAGGACTTTTCTATTAGTATAAACTTTAAAAGCTTAGTATATTAGAGGAATCATTGTCCAGCTATTTTAACAAACCCTTACTACTACCAATCCCCTACAAATATATCCGACTAATTAGCTTGGATTTAATAGATACTCATTTTGCATGGTCATAATACTTTTACTAGTAATTAAAATACATTTACTATCCCAAGACGATAATACTTTTATATTATAAATCCATAGTAGAATTTATGGTATTTAGTAATACTTATATTTAATAATTAATAATATTTATAGTATGTAGTAAAACTATTTGAGCTTTAGCAATTGCCGAGGCAAATATTATAGCTATTAATAAATAGTATTAATAAATATGCTAGTACCTGTTTCTTGATCTTGGCTAAAATGGCAACAATATCCCTTTCTTGAGCTTTAACGGGCATTGTAAATTCTCTTGTGTTTAATTTCACTCTGTCTGCTATCATTTGTTCATACTGGTGGTAAAAGGTTAAAAAAAATATATTAATATACATTATGTTCAATGAGGACAATAACCATTCCATATTCCTAAGTATTTCTGTTAAATAATATTTGTATATAAATGTATTTTTAAAGTGACTCAAGCCTGACCTGTCAATTATTAAAGTAGAGCGAAAACATTGTGTTTAATAAAATAATAAAATATTGTAACAAATATTGTAATGAAGAGAAAGCGTATCCCTCGTTTTCAGGCAAATAAATCCTAAAATCGCTCTACAATTTTGAGTTAAGCCACTCCCTTCCAAAACAAATACATTTCGTTAGTGTAGGGAACAAAACTCCAATGTAGTGGATTGTTCTCCTATATTATATATTATTTAACTTAATAATAATATATAATTTACAGGGTTAGTAAAAAGTGTGGAGACCCCCTGTTATTTTTTTAACGGCCCATACTAGACAAACTAAACTCGGCACACCTTTATGGCATGTTATGAAGTACTTTTTGGGCATAACCGTCACTTGGTGTACATCCCCAAAATGGGGGATTTTGGGGGAAACTAAAAAAGTTCAAATACAAAGACCTATCGAATGACCCCTCATTTTGAAGGTCCTGGTAAAAGAAAACTAACAACGCAAACTAGAGGTTTCTATCTCAATCCAGTAAAAAATGGAAGCTGATTGAAATCTTTAGAAATCGGAAATAACTTGCAGTTTTATATTCAGTTGGCTGCCTTATTTTACTGTGTTAAGAGACCTATAGTTTGCATTGTTAGTTTTCTTTTATTATGACCTTCAAAATGAGGGGTCACTCGATAGGGCTTATCATTTAAAATTTTTGAGTTTCCCCCAAAATCCCCCATTTTGGGTTTGGGAACTTATGAGAATTTCAATTGGCTGCCATTTTGTACTGAACTGAGATAGAGACCTCTAGTTTGCGTTGTTGGTTTTTTTTACCAGGACCTTCAAAATGAGGGGTCACTCGACGGGTCTTTGTATTTGAAATTTCTTAGTTTTCCCCAAAATCCCCCATTTTGGGGATGAACACCAAGTGGCGGTTATGACCAAAAAGTACTTCATAACATGCCATAATGGTGTGCCGAGTTTAGTTTTTCTACTATGGGCTGTTAAAAAAATAACAGGGGGTCTCCACACTTTTTACTAACCCTGTATATTATTTTTAAAGCTGTATAAAGCTGTGTTTGTTGTTGTTTAAAGTTAAAAATAAATATTATACCAGAGGCTGTGGCTCAGGATAAGGATCAACCTCCTTCATAAACTGGAAGTAGTTAAGGCCCAACTCGTCCAAGTAGCGCTGCTCCAAAGAATACACTTGCTCGTCCGACAACAAGATACAATTGAGCTTCAATACTTGTCGGAACTGGTTACGGTTTACATGGCCATTTCTAGCTCTGAGAACAGAAAGCGAATGTAGTGATTAGAAAGATTGAGCGTATGAGATATATATTTAAAGCTTGAAATATAGATCATTACTAGGTTTCTTGTAAGTTCACTCTACGTGGTAGTCAATGCTCAATCCTAGGACACATAGACAGTCGAGGTATAAACTGACGTATAGGCCGGAGCTAATCATAACAATGCATATACACGTCTCACCTTAGTCCGTAATGAATTTTTGAACGGTAAATTATTATTTAAAGTTAAAAAAGTACACGGTAAAGTAATGAAGAATAATGGAAAATAAACTGTGTTTAATGCATAAAACGGAGTGACAAAACTTGCGTTGTTAATTAATTAGTTGGACTAAGGGAATAGGTGCGAAATTCACAAGATGGTTTTGTGTTATCTGGTTGTTACCGTTGACGCGTATACAATAGCACTTAGTGCAACTCAATGTATAAGAACAGTTGAGAAACCATGACCACCCAAATCTTCATAAGCACTTACAATTAATTCTAGAAAAAATACGTTTTTCAGTTAACGCAAACTTTTGAAGTGAATAACCTATCAAAAAGTATTTAAGATTTCCTTGTACATCGGATATGCGTGACCAATATTCCCACTAACCTATCAAAATCATTGAAGTCCGGAAGTAGGTTCAAGCCATTTCTGCGTATCTTGTCTTTCACTATCCTGACTACATCCTCACACGAGACCATACGGTCCTCTGACAGTCCGCTGTATACGTTCCCTCTTCTTGGCAAATCTCTGACTTCCATTGGAGGACAGTCCACATGGTAGTCTGGCAGGCGCTCTAGGCCTTTCTTGGTAAATACTGGGAACAACAGAATGGTTACAGTAAAATAATTTTGCTACCATTGTTGATAATGCGTTGTAATAGTATTATTGGTTCTAATATCATCACTGTCCACCTTTATAATTTTATCTTATTTGGTCATCCTTGTCGTTAAGTACTTCACGTTTATTGGAAAATGCTTACAAATATGTCTTTATATTCCTAAGTTAAATGTTACATTAATTGAGTTGCTATTGCTTGGTCTTGTTAGTATCGAACGTCAACATTATGTTAGAAAGTTTAATTAATTGACAGCTTAATTAAAATGGTTTCAGGATTTATCTTGTTGTAAATTGAACCATTGGCCTTCAGATTTGAAGGTGAGAACTATAACGGCTACCCACCTTATGTCATTAATTTACTTTATATTTGTAGCAAATGTTAGGTCGTTGATAATGTGAAGGTCTACAGCTATAGTTAATTAAGTTTAACTCTTGCTAACACTCACCAGCCTCTATGTCGTCCTCAAACACACGCCACATCACTCTGGTGGGATCCAGAGGGTCTCTGTAGGCGTCGACAAGGTCATTCATCTCCTCAGAGGTCAAGTTGTACCTTCTCGTACCAGCCTCGCCAACTCCCATCATGTCTACACAGCGACGAAACGCGGACTCGGGTAACCGACCGCAGTTAGTGTGGTCAAAGTCCTGGAGAGGAATCAGAAGTATTAACGAAAAAAACTACTGGTGAAAAATATAACATTTCGTTCACTTCTTGTTCTAGCATCACTTAGTAGCTTCTGTGTTGTTTACAAGAAACAGTTGGTAAAAAATCAATGTATTTGTAGTTTTGTTCAACCTATTTGTATTGATCGTGTAAAGACTTTTTTATTGGGACCTTCTTTTGGGTCATTGTATATTTCTTAATGTGATAATGAATGAATTATTTTTATTGTAATGTTGCATAACAGCTTGTTAAAATTAAGCAAAAAAGTCAAATATAACGTTCTAATAATATTTCAATAACCTAAACCAAGAGCTAAAATGTAGTCAAAAATGTAAAAATGTAAAATATGAATAGGAAATATGTCAGTTACATCGGTGTAGCTGATGAGACCTAACAGAACATATTTACGGACCCATACTTACCCCGAAGAACTGTCCGATGCGGACTCCCTCAGTGTAGACGTAACGCTGAATTCTGCTGATGATTGTACTGAGTGATTCAGGGTTCCTAGGTTTGTTGAGCACAGGGTGGAATATCTTCTGTACACCAAACACAGCGTCTGTAGGCACAGTGCCTACCTCAGGTCTCGGTAACTTGGGAAGCTCGGCCGTCAGAGCTCGGCCTTGAAAGTTCGGCAACACTTCCTGTAAATTGATAGGGAAAGTATGATATGATTTACATTAAGAGTGTGTTACACATCATAGGGTAAATTGTTCGTTCGTTTATTTAAAGTGGGCAATCTTTGACATCTGTCTAACGAAGACAGATGGTGACGCTAAGAAATACAACGGCGAAATTTAAATCACTATTTTACAAGATTAATGTAATTCAACGCAATGCTACATCCAAGTCGACATAATAGGCCCTCCATTTAGTAATCACTTGCCCATTTATGTACATTTTACCTTTACCTTTAACACTCATGCAATAAACCTTAATATTATCATGAACAGAAATTCAGGATCAGTTATCTTTGGTGCTTACATTTCCATCAAGAGATTATAGTTAGGCAGGGTGCACACTGGAGAAACCCGTTACATGAAACCGGTTTCGTGAAACGAGAAACTTTAGTTGCTTGCAACGGATGGATTAGTTTAACACAGGACAGTGCACACTGCGTTGCATGAAACTGTAATTTCATTGGTTTCTTGCAACTGGTATACACGAAATCCAAAAAACAGATTTCGTATAGGCTTCAGTTTCACGTTTCTAGTGGTTTTATTAACTACGACGTAAAATTAAATAAAGTTTTGGTGCTAACCACAATACGCGTGTGAAGTTTTTTAGTATGGCAGACATCTGTTTTCAAGGGAAGTTAGCAGAAGCTGTAGAAAACCATCCCTGCTTATATGATTTCCATCTAAAGGAGTACAGCAACAGGGATAAAGTACAAAGAGCTTGGGAGAAAGTGGCACAAGAATTGAACTCATCAGGTATTTATTATATTTATTATATATTTCAATAAGTACAAAACGATAGACAATATGCTAACTTTAAGTGATAGATACATTGTTAGATAAAGCAGTTTAGCCCTTGTACATACTTATATCCAACAACACTATGGTCTGTACCTAATCACTGTTTTCATCAGTTAACTCCCATTGTGGTTGAATTGCTATGCCTGGAATCAAGAAATATGCCTTAAGATAATTCCTCATAGCCTTTGCTGTTTTTAAGTTTTTATCCACGATACGGTGACATACATTTGGATCATCACTTCCCTTAAATTCTGGTAAGGAACGTTGATATGCAACACCTTCCGATTTCCGGATGTAATTGTGCAAAACACAGGCACTTGCAACTATAGGCTTTACCACTTTCTCAGAACAACCAATAGGGACATCAAATATACGGAACTTTGACCTGAGCATTCCAAAAGCGCACTCTACTGTCTTGCGACCTAAAGTCAATCGAAAATTGCAAATTCGTTGTTCGTCTGTCAAAGCAGCTCTAGGGTACGGCTTCATAAGGTACTTTTTAAGAGGAAATGCTGCGTCGGCAACAAAGAAATATGGGAAGGGAGCCTCATTAGCGTCAAAAGGTAGAGGATGTGGTTGTGGTACATTCAACTCATCTCGATCCAACCATCGACCTAAACGTGAAGTACGGAACACACCCCCATCACTGTTTCGTCCTAGATCTCCCACATCAATGGTTGTAAAACAGCCATCTGCATCAGCACAAGCCATAATTTGAACTGAGTGATAACCCTTATAATTATAATAAGATGATCCTGCATGTTTAAACTTTTGGACTCTGACATGTTTCCCATCTATTGAACCGATGCAGTTCGGCAAACTCCAAAGTTCTAGGTAGCGATTTGCTATGCACTTCCACATATTTTCGTCAGGAACGGGCATGTACAGTGGTTGTAAACAACTCCATATTGCCTTTGTAGTCTCCTCTACAACCACACCAATAGTTCGTTCTCCTCTCATGAAATATTGGGCCAAACATTTGAACGAGTTACCAGTAGCAAGGTACCTAAAAAAAAGTTCAAATTAGAACTGTAAATAACTAATTTTATTAATAGATTTAATTCATGTAATTTTAATTACATTAATTAAATAATTTGTCAATCAACTGTAAATAACTAATTAAATGCCATTAAATTTAATTAATAGATTTAATTAATGTAATTAAAATAACATTAATTAATTATACCTATTAATTAAATTTAATGATATTTAATTCGTTATTTACAGTTGATTGACAAATTATTTAAATAATGTAATTAAAATTACGCAGAGGATACGCGTCCGGTAACCGGACCTGGATTAGGCGTCCGGCAGTTACTGTCATAACCTAACCTAACCAACCAAACTTGCTGATAATGAAAAAATTCAAATGAAGGCTCAATTCTCTTGATAACATAAAATTACAAATACCAAAAATTCTAACAAAAGATGTACAGTTAAGAAGGAATTACATTCAAAGCAAAATCTGGGACAAAAAGTTAAAGAAACCGGTAGGTTTCGATCCAAGGACCTCATGGTTATCAGCCGAGCACTCTATCCACTACACCACGAACAACGCTGGCCGAATAGCGTATCGTTGTGGTAATGGCGTTCCGGTTGGTTCCGGGACCCCACAACCCAGTGACGTCACTACCGGACGCCTAATCCACGTCTGGTTACCGGACGCGTATCCTCTGTGTTAAAATTAAGTTTGTCAATGGAATCATTTAATTAATTTAATGTTTTGTTTCAGTGAAGGAATGCAAAGACAGTTGGAGGAACATGAGAATTGTATTTACGAGGAATCTTAAATTACCCCCGTCTGGTGCCAAGGCCAAAAAGAAACCATGGCCTCTTCTACAAGCTATGATGTTCCTCAAACCGTACGTGACTGCGAAAGGAATCGATCAGCCTAGTAACCTACCGTCTCTACCACCCACGGCGGCCGACTCATCAGCAGCCGAGGAAGAACGTGTTGACGATGTTCTACCTTTACTAGAGGAACCAGCTGAGGAAGGTATAGAAGAGACCAACAAAGGAATTGAGGCAGGAAGTTCCTGTACAATTGGAAAAAAGAAAACCACGCCTCACCACCCCCCAAAAAAGACAGTCAAGCCAGTAAATGCTGATGAAGTAGTATTGGATTACATAAATTCAAAAAAAAAAGTCGTTAGTGAGAATCCTAGAAAACAGTTTTTATTGAGTATACTCCCAGATGTGGAAGACATGACTGTACCTCAATTCAAGAAATTTCGGAGGGATGTTCTTAATTTGATTGATCAGATTGATGAACCAGCATGGACATATCAGCCACCATCGGTCAGTCCACAGTCATGGTCGGTGGAGTCTGGACAATCACTATCCAATCCGCTTCCGGTTCTACCTCGTCAAAACTACATTGATGAAGGAAATGATCGACTGTATACTGAACTGGCACCTTTTCTTAATAAACCCTTAGAATAACTAACTGTTTTTGTTTTATGTTTAATGCGATAAATTTGACAATGATTAAAGGGTTTTGACTTACCTCAGTGTTATTGTTATTTTTTCCTCAGCACTGAGAGCTAACCTCCAGTTGGTGTCCTTCTTCGTTATTACTGGGCTAACTAATTCCACCAAACGTTCAAAAAGAGGCTTCGACATTCTAAAATAATCCTTAAATTTGACAGGATCACTGCACAATAGACGAGCTACTACGTAAGTACTGTGTTGACCATCCCTGATCAACGGGTGAACCCAATACTTCCTTCTTTTCTTTTTCTTTAGCCACCACCACAAAATAACCACATCATCATCATCCGAATCCATCACAAAGACAAATCTGATGGAAACGCGTTTCTTCTGTGTGCATTTGGTAAAGAAACAGTTTCTTTGAAACCAATTTCATGAAATCAGTTTCCTGAAACGGGTTTCTCCAGTGTGCACCCTGCCGATTCCAAGCAATTTTTTTCTTAAATTATGTTACATTAAAATTACATAGATGTTCTTAAAAAAAATAAGATCAGGATCAATCTAAATTACTATAACTAGTCCTACGTATTACTAGAGTACTATGTTAGTTACCCCGCCAAGGTCAGTGATGCCGCATCTCTCCATATACTGGTAGACATACTGAAGTGCAGACACAAAGGCCATGTAGTTGACCGTGTATCCATCCTTAAGGAACTTGCGGACCAGGAGGCGGAACTCATCCGGGGCAACGAAGATCTTGAGGAAGTGAAGTATTCGGGCAAAGTGGGAGATCGTGATAGTGCCGTGGTTCTTGGCAATCTGAGAGTATTGTGATTAAGAAATATGTAAGCTGTTTAATTTTTGTTCCTTATTGGTTCTAGAAGCGAGGTGTCATTAATCACTGCACATTTGCTAAGCTATTTGGTCAAGGAAATAGCTAGAATCAGTGGGTGGCACAGTTATTTCTAAACGTGTATTTCGTTTATCTGGACCTAAAAATGCACAAAATTATGAATCGGTATGAAGGACCAGATAATCAGCAATGAACATAATACTTGAAGCAAAAAATATTTAAGTATTTATTTTATTCATTATTGGGCTGTTATTGTAAATGTTAGTTATTTTTACAACGAATGAACTATTGTTTGGTAAACTAATAATTAAAGGCTTGAGTAATCTTATAGTATTATGTGGTTGTGTTGCTAGCCTAGTGGTTAGCGTCTCGGACTTCGGTGCGGGAGGGACGGGTTCAATCCCCGGCACATCCACTAAACTTTGATCTCTCGTAACTTCTCGTGTGAAATGCCACTGGCGTAGAAAAAAAAAAGAAAGAAAGAAGTAGCTTATTACAAATATTGTTAATAAATAAAAAAAAATACTCATTGACGTAGTAATTTCCAATTATCGAAACCTAATCAAAACTGAATTATTAAATTTCTAAGAATTTAGAGTTGGGACAATGTATTTTTTACTGTCGTACCTAACTAGTAGTATGTGAATTATGAATATCCACAAACATAAAATGCGTTGACACTTTCAAACGGTAAGGTTTGCAATGACGTTATAATGTCATTTAAACACTAAACTATGGCTATAAACATTTTACAACACGTAACAAAAGCTATTTACAATTTCATAGTCCTGGAAATGAGGTAGCAGCACAAGATTCCTAGCCTTCACTAGAGTTGCTATTTTGGTCAGCAACAGCATAATTCTCCTCTCTTCAGCCATGGACAGAGAGTTAACATGATAAGGGTCCTCCCACTCCAGTCCGCACACCAGAGGAGCGTACTGCTTAAAGTCTGGAACTAAGATGAAAAGATTAACACTTGAACAAACAGTTATTTAAATACGCATAAGTGTAAGATATGTAAGGTCGTTCATATAGCTTTCTTAATGTGGTGAGTCGTTTTACTTGACAGATTCACAGTCAATGAAAATTTATCAATTACCGTTTAAAACTATTGGCCGGATTAAATAGTACATTATTATTTGTAATATAACCGGAACTATTCTATTAGAGGGAGGTCAGCATAACTTATCAACTTGTCAGCAAAATTCAAGTAAGATAATTAGATTATAGAACACAGAAATGATAACATAATATTACAAGGATGTGTGGAGAAGAGACACACCATCACGAATACGAAGTGCTTTTCAGTATTACATAATATGAAATACTGAAAAGCAAATATGCTTTTCAAGCTGGTATGTTATTTATGAACTTTTCATGCTAAGACGGTAAAAAAGTAGAGGAATAAGGTTAGTTGGCTCAATTAGTTAAAGTTATTTGTCTGGTAAATTCAAAATATAAAAAAAACAAGACATGGAAATCCGAACGATTTGAAATTCTTTACAACCCATTGACCACTTGACATTTTAGGTTGTCGTTGGTATCATGCTTCACATAAGAATTTAATAACATTGATTGAATTTTATGAAACTTTTTGTAAGAAAATAAACTTGTTCTTTCATTTCATAACATTTTACCTATGTACGCATTTATCTTTTAGCACTTATTTCACGAGTTTTCAAATTCTAACCAAAATTTGTCCTTATATTCTAAACACTGTAATAATTAATTTGTTGATTCACTTACTGTTATCGTGGATGACCTGACAGAACTGACGATAGAGGACTCTGCCATCAGGAGCTTTGAAGTAATCAGCAAGTTCCAGAACTTCCTGCTCTGAGAGACCGATAACATCTTTCAAAGGTCCCGCCAGCACCGAGACGAACTTGGCCTCTGAAATTGAGAGGTGTATCCTACTTGAATAATATGAAATAAAAGTGGAATCATCATCATTTACCCTTAAAAACATATTTATCTTATAGTGTATACTGTACTTTTTTCTACATCCACAACCTTCTTTTTGAAAGGATAGACTCAAACTTGAGCAGTTTAGTCCAAAAGCTTTTTTATAATACAACTATTGTTAGCTAATAAAAATAATTGACTAGTCTAATTGCAAATCAAATTTACTTTTTATGTAACAATTATTTTAAAAGTTACAGATTTTATTACCTGATACAAGGCTGTATCCTTCAGGGTCTAAGGGTAGGTAGTGGCTCCACAAGTCCAAACCTGATCTGAATATAGCTGCTCGGATTTTGTTGCATGTCCTCCAAATGTCAAGAAGAAGAATGGGTTTGCACTGTTAAAAATACTCGTATTAATTTGCAAGTAAACCTGAAAACTCTATTCAATAATCTGCACAGTACCAACTATTACGAACTACTTTGGTCCGCTTCAGTAAGAAAAAAATTTAAAGTATCAGCGGTTTTCATAAAAATCTTAAAAATATAAACTTGCTCTCAAAGTCATTATCTTACATGTTTTATCCAGGGATTAGGCCAGTAAAATTAGTAAAAAAATTGGCTGTGCCTAGAAATAATTCCTGGACAAAAAGTCTGATGAGTTTTTTTGTAATTTGTATTGTAATTAATACTTTGTAATTTGATACTTTGTAAATAATAATGTGCAGTATAGGTATTAATTTTCGAGATGTAATATAAATGTTAAAAATGCAATGGTCAATGTTTTATTAATACAATAATTTTTTATTTAAATGACGAAAAGTCAGGTATTATTTGCTCGATTTTCATCACCAGATTATCAATAAATGAGCAATTTTGTGGTCTACAGTTCATTTACGAAATGTTTTTCTGTAGGATGGATAGTCTTTTGACGATTTAGCAAAAGCTAAAAAATAACCCAAATTTGAAAGGTTTTTGTGGTCCCAGGTCAGAAGCTCACCTAAAAAAAAGTGGAAAAACATCAAGTCCTTTTACTTCTATATAAAACAAAAGGATCAAAACTATGTCCAGCTTTCCAGGAATTATTTTCGGGCAAAAACCTATTTTTACTGGCCTAGATCCCGATGTAGGAATAACATAATTTGGTTAACGAGTTCACCACAATCTCATTTATCGTTGGGAAATATCACAAACATGCACAGACAGATTATTGTGTGATATAACATTAGAGTTATAATGGTATTTGTCCTAACTTGATAGTCAACTCACCTCAGCCATTGCCAGATTATAATACTGATATTTTAGAACGACAGATTTAGTAGATTGTACAAAAACAATACGATTTTGCGATTCCTGTTGCCACGGATACTGTGTAAACTACTCACGTAGAAAATTGGATTTCTGAAAATGTATTTAATAGGCTACTTGAAGAAAAAAAAATTCTGAACGAAATAAATAAAACTATTGAAAGCGGTCAAATATTTGTAGAGGTATTCACATTAAATCGTGTATAGAATTTTGAACAAATCAATAAAATCCTCTTGTATGCAAATTATGATGATCAAATTTTTTCACGATTCTAAATCAACCATTTGACGGATTTTCATTTCATTTGTGTTGAAAGAAAGATAATTTTGAAAGGAAGTGAATGTCGAAGCCATAGTTTTAGTTTAAGGTATAAGTGTTTTTAGAAATTAAGTTTTAATTTTTAAATCTTAAGCAGCACTGATACTGACAAATTAAAGTAGTTTCAGTGGTGACTAATAGATAGTTTCAAACTGGCATTGAAATGTTTATGTTACAAGTTATTTGTTTACAAACATATTAATCGTCGGTATTTTTTGCCTACATACTATTTCACGTAGTTTTCAAACTGAATGTAGGTACAACATTAAATACAATCAAAATGTACCATACTATCTCTACTGAGTCAAAAACCTTAGAAAATAATTATATTTAGCTTTAATTACAGTTCTGTCTTGTAAAACTTCGTTTAACATACCTAACTAACTTAAATTTCTATGTGCTAATATTTTGTTCACACTGTGATACTAAATTACTATTTAACTTTCTCCCTTCTGCCATGTTCCCTAGACCTCTGACATTGTAACTTTATCAACTATGGTCTATGCCATACTGACTGTTCACGACGTAAGATTCTATTACACAATAACGGATTCCAAACCTTCACCTACAAAAACACGAATGAAAGAGTTTATTTTAAGTACTTTAGCTTTTCAAGGATGTGTATGAAGTAGTTCAAAGAAAATGTGAAATATATTTCTCCAATGACGGGTAAAAGGTAGTTAGAGGATGTATAGCAAAGCAAGGTTGGCCTTGAGCTAGGTCTGAGATCAAAGTCATGTCATTTGTAGGCCACAAGGGTTTCTGTCTTATGCTGAGATGTTGTAAGCTTACATGAGAGATCTGTAATATAAGTGTTTTAGCTCCCTTTGATATTTTCTGGTTTGGTGAATATCAGTATGCAAACTTACAAAGTTCTTCTTTGCAATAGTAAAACATTACATGTGATGTTTCTAAACCGAAGTGGGCTGTAACTTTGTAGACAGCTGCAACAATTCGTTTGTGATACCGCGTTAGTGGTATGGCAAGACCAAGTTGTAAGTATAAAATACGGATTGTTTAGTAGTTAAAGAGGCTGCCTTTAACTACTCTTAAACAACAGTTTAAGGCTGTAACTTTTGTGAAAGCCGTTCAAACGAACCATTTCTCTCCAGATATAGTCTTTCTTAACGGTTTACAACTGTAACGTAATTGTTGTTATAGCTTTACCGTTTGGTAATTTTTATACATTATATACTCATTTCTGTTGACTTGAGGTGAAACAAACTTAATTTCAGAGGTATATACACAGTCCCTTAATACGGTCTATTATTATATAAGGTCAAATATACCATAGTACTTGAACTTAATACTAGTTGTAACCCAAATATATCTATAGATTTATGTTTCTCATGGATGCATTACAAACCTCTTTTCTTGATAATCACTGTATAATAGTAGGCCTATGCCTAAAGTCAATCTACACTGCAACTGGTTAAAATGGACCTAGCGGTGTTTATGAAGACAAAATATTTCTAAGGATTCTGTCAACTCAACACCAAGCTGTATACCTTGGCATTATTTTTTTCAGGTGGAAACGAATATTATCTTTTTTTGTAATTAGAATTGCTTACTTACTAATCTCAAGACATTATTCAACTTTGGAAATGAGGTTTTACTTAGACGTATAATTCACATCTACAACCAAACTTCCGAAGTTTGTTGATTGCTGAAGATGGAATGTTTCTTAGAAATGCTAATCGCACTTTAATGATGAATGGAACTCAAAGTGCGTAGGAAAACTTCGTATAAACTCTTCATCAATTCAAAGGACAATACTTAGAAACTCCGAACACTACTTGGAAGTAATTGGTCCTGTTGATTTCATTAGTGTATATTTAACAGTATATTTTTAGTGTATATTAGTGTATATTTATTTAGTTCATTCACACAAGTTAACTCATTAACCGCGCATCTTGTGAGGTTTAGGATTTCTGTTCTTTCTACTAAAAGGATTATCAAATGAATATTAAGACCCTTAAAATAAAAACGGAAGAAAATTTTATTAACAAAAAAAAACTATTTACTTATTCAGAAAACATAAAATGTAGAGGGCATGTTTAAAGGGACATTTGCTATTTTCCAATTATATTCACTAACTTTGAAGGTCAGAAAGTATTAATTTATATAACGTTATAATGCATTAGTGATAAAAGCTAGTTGAGCGACAAATTCTAGTTAGTTAAACATATGGAGAAGAAGGTGTAGTATGTGTTGAAAAATATTTATCGCTCAAATACCGAAATAAAACAATTTAGAATAATTCACTATAATTGAACGAAACAGACACGTTTGTCTGGATTGAGACAAGTTTAAAGTTATACGTTCTTCAGTTGTAGAGAGAAACTTTAAAGGTTAATTAATGAGAAAGTTTGCAAACTGTTGAAACACGAGTGAACCAAACTTAGTCTGATAAAACTTACTGTTACATCAAAGACATTTTCACTTCGCAGCTTTCTGTAAACTTTCCTTTTATTGCAGTTTCTATTCTCTTTTAAATTAGAATAGAGAGGAGCTAAAACTAGATGAAACATTGTTTAATTAAATAACATCCCAACTTCTAACTCAATCTCATGTAATATTCCACCTTGCTGTTTCTTACAAAATAACGAGTTTAACTTTTAAGACTAAAAGATGATTTAAAATATTTAAATGTTGATAAGTATGAGTAAGTCAGGCATCTACCTGTGATTCGTGTTAAGATTAAATTAAAAGAAATGAAATTCAAAACAACAAAAATAGTCACCTTTTCATTAGGAACTCAATATAAAGCCATTGCCTGGAGACGTTAAACGGCAGATATGTTCTTAATCTTTCTTAATCGTAGAACTTCTGTCATACCTTTGTATACTTAGGCTGACGTTAAAGCCTATTGTGAGGTACCTTGATATTGAAACCTATATTAACGATACTCATGTGATAATTTATTTAGTAAAACAGTCAACTTAAGTAAAGATTATATAGTATAACACGTTTGACTGTTTACCCTGCTGTTTATTTCATTTGCTCTTTGTATACTAATTTCAGTTTACAACTAAATTTATATCAGGTATTAATAAAATAAATCACAAGCGTTGGGTTCATCTTTTGTTTAAAACTCAAAGTAATACTTTAACAATGATTTTCTTTATGTAAATAAAAGTATAAAACCGTACAAAGATCTGTAGATAAATAATAGGCATATTAGCTACTAGAAATACCAACAAGTGTTTAAGGATCGTGTGGTTGTGTACAGCTCAGTATACGATAGTTAAAGTGGTTACTTAACTAACCATCAGCTAAGTTATTTAACTATAAATTAAATTTTCAATTAGGCTTCGTCTCCTACAGTAAATCTTGGAATAAACTTTCCTCTAATCACTTTGAAAGCTTTCGAACGATCGGGAAGTCTTATTTGGAGGTTTTGCATTGATGAGTTCAAGTTAATCTAACTTTTTCCATTTAATTTCGCTTTGAATACAAATCAACTCGTTTTATTTGATTTGGAGAACAGGCAATACTATGTAAATTCGATGTAAATCGTGCAAAGGATGGTCACAGCTGGTCTAGTAGTTGAATTTATGTCATTTTGTAGTCCAAATCCTGATATTAAATAATTACTTGTAGCTAAAGGACTGAAGGGAGTTTTCAATTAGAAATAAATCAGAAAGATTATGTGTTTTCAGTGTGCAAACATTCAAAGTTAGCCATTAACAACCCAAGTTAAGTTGACATATGTGTTGTTGAGGACGCTGATGAGAGTTTCCAAATAAAATTTGCCTACAAGCACTTGTATTTGTTCACTGTGTTAACAGGTACAAGTTATTAATAACAAGCTATGTAAAGTGAGCACTTACTATGTTTCTATGAAAGATTGTGGGAGTTTAAACATTTTAATACGTTCTCCCTATTACATAAGTTAATAATAAACAAGTAAGTATTATTAATACGTACAATAGACTGTCATACAAATCTTCTTTTTTTTATAATGAACTGGTTAAGCTAATCTCACATGTTTTGAGTTTACTGTGGAGAGTACCCCACCACACACAAAACTTCTTTTTCGTTTAATCTTGCAAAAAAAATTGTTTGCATCAAAATCATTTACTTAGCTTTGAGTAATTTGTATAATTCTCTCATTTCCTATTGAATGTAGTTTTTACATGGTTTAATAAGAAGCATAAAGATGTTTTAAAACATGACTAATTAATAAGATAGCAATTAGTAAAGTTTATAATGTTCATCTTGCATTGTTTAAATAATATTTTGAAATCCGCTCTGCTGATCCACCAACTGGATACATTACTATAAAAAATTGGTCCCAGTATATTTTTTTCAACTATCCTATTTAAGAATTTCCTTAGAGGTGTAGATAGTTTATAATTTATTCTTGTAAAAAAATACAACCGACTTCAAACGCTCTAAAAAGAATGATATAATTTTTATAAAGTAAACTTTTGTATTAGGCAAGCTCACGTATTTTAAGTCGGCGCGGCTCTATGATGATTTTTGATACAAAATTGAAAGAGGGTGTCCATATTGCAGGTGACTAATTTTAACTAAAGGTGTTAATCTGCGTGTCTTTTTCATAGTTATGCATTAAGTGTTATTTTATTACCGTAATCAGTGATCGGCATTATAGTGGTATTAACGAGTATCTTTAAAAAGATTATAACGCATTTAAATGTTTCTAACTTGGAAAAGTAACGTTTTAATACTAAACTAGCTTATTTTCCCTATCATAATAT